TGGGGGGAGAGGGTGGGTGGGTCAGTCCCGGCTGGATCCCGGCCCAGGCCTGGAGCAGAAACTCCACTGGGCCACAGAGGATCCCCCGGAGCCATTCCCAGGGCTGCTGCCCCCCACCTCTCCCCCCAAAAGCCACGCCCCTCTTTTACGACAAAGAGGCGTAATGGCACAATCTGCTCTACCCCAGCCCTCTGGGTTCCTGCAAACCCCCATGAGGCAAAGCCTGGGGGGTTCAAAATAGGACCCAGAGCAGAGGAGAGGAGCTGCACTCTGCACGTGCACAGGGTTTACCCTTCCAGGCCAACATGCACAGAGGAGCTACATCCCATTTGGGCGTGCCCAGGTGTTTGGGGACTACAGTTCCCAGAATCCTCCAGTCAGCATGGCTGTGGCTGGGTAGCTGCTGTAACCCAACACATCTGGAAGTGCAGGGTTGGGGAGACCCTCTGTCCATGCTCAGAGGCCCTCTTACCACCCTCCCGCGCCCCACCCACGGGGCCAGGGGCAGGGCTCAGCTCTGACCTAGGAACGGGGCTTCCTTTTCCGGAGGTGCCGGACTCCCCCAGGTGGCCAGCCGGGCTGCCCTGCCTCTCCCCGTGGAGCATGGAGTTCAGGATGATGAACCGGTACTTCTTCCAGTTGCAAGCTTTGGGGTCCGGGGTCGGGGCGCAGCCGCTCGACTCGCAAGGAGAGGCCGGCTGGCCCGGCGGGAACTGATCGCCGGCTCCCGGAGACCGGGCGGGCCCCGAGTCCTTCTCTTGGGGGCAGAAGGATCCAGGCTGCGGGGCCCCTTCGGTGGCAGCCCCTTGCCCCCCTCGGGGGAAGGGGGCCGGGATGGATCCCCCCCGCCGTCGCTGCGGCTGCTCCTCTTCCAGCGGCTGGAACGTCTGGCGAAGGATGTGGGGCACCGGAGGCGGTAACAGGAAGGTCACCCGGTCGTAGCTGCAGGGACCACACAGGGAAGGGTTGGGGGGCAGGCGGGTCAGGGGTCCTCTCCAACCCCCCCCGAAAATGCTCCCATGACCTTTGCTTCCTTCCCCTCTGTGGTTTCCCCTAGCGGCCTGTGGGCACTCTGGGGCAGAGACCTTTCTGCTTGAACCTCTGGCCCACGGATGTGGGGAAGGCCTTAAGGGCAGGAACAACCACAGGTCCTTTGGGCCAGCATATTCAGAGCGCAATTGGAGCAAAGGACAGGCAGAAAGGAAAGACATGCTCAGAGGCACTCTTGCCACCCCCCAGCCAACGTTGACCAGAAGAAATAGGGGGTCCTTCAGACAAATCTTTTATCTTGCTTTTGATTACAGCTATGCCTTAATTCTGAGATCCTCGAGAGCTGAGAGTCCGTTCACACAATAAAATAGAAAACCCAAAGCTGGGTGGGGAATTCTGGGAGTTGAAGTCCACACAACTTCAAGCCGCCAAGGCTGAGAAACACTGGCCTAATCTCTCGCCCAGAATCCCCCCTCCAGTGCACCTAGGAATTCTGGGAATTGCAGTCCCAATGCACCTGGAGGGCGCCACGCTGGGGAAGGCACAGCTATGCCATTCCTCAAGGCCAGTTCATGCAAGGAGGCCCCTCCCTCAAAGCTCTTTTGCTTTGTCTTCGGTTTGGGGGGGGATTCGATCATTTTATTCTATTTAAAACGGATCCTGTCCTAGTCCAGCTTTCCTCTCCTCCCCATGGAGGAGAAACCACTCAAGAGCAGTGCCACGTACGTGAGAAAGGGTCAGGGGTCTGATCCCACCGTCGCAGCCGCCCTCTTGACTTAGGGACACCCCCTGCAAGGCCCCCGCCGTCCTGCTCAGTCTCCCCCCCCCCAACTCCCAGTACCTGGCCTGGATGAAGCGGTGACAGCTCTCCACCACGTGCTCCATCTGCAGGTAAGAAGCCGCCACCAGGACCGCGGGGGCCGTGCCCGGGCTGAGCAGAAGGCGGGATGTGTACATGAAGTCCAGGAGGGCCTGGAAGCCCACCGGCTCGATGGCACTGGGCAAGGTCAGGACGCTGACTTCGTGGCCTCCCTGGCCCAGGAAGACGGAGTAAAAGAAGCCGCTGTCCGGGAGACAGGAGGGAACGAGGGGTCAAGAAGCACCCGTCCAGCAGCGTCCGTCCCGCCCTGATGCCAGGGAAGATACCCGGGCGGTCCAAAGGGAGTGGGCTGCAATTCCCCAGATGCTTCATCCTTGCTAGCCACCCCCACTGCTTGCATGACGTAAGCCACAGCCTCCCCGAGAGCAGAGGCAGGGGGTTTGTTTAAGGTGCCCCAACCTTTCCTGTTCCTACAGGACCTGGCTGGGGAATTCTGGGAGTTGAAGTCCACTCGTCTTCAAGCGGCCAAGGTTGAGAAACACTGCTCTGGACTCAGCCCGCATCTTGTGGGAAGAGCCAGGTCTTCACGGCCTTCCGGAAGGTTAAAAGGGTGGGGGGCCCTCGAATCTCAGGTGGGAGGCTATTCCAAAGGGCTGGGGCGGCCACTGAGAAGTCACCCCATGGCTCACCAGTCCTGGTGCCTCTTGCTTGACAACCAAGGCATGGGCTGCCACAGGAGGCAAGGGATGCCCTGCGCATTACGACACCGTGGCCCAAAGGATCCAAGTTACATATTCTACGATATCCATGGCACACAGGACATCCTCATGGCCAGTACCAGATGTTGAGGAATTCACCTCTGTCCCACCCGGAAGGCTTCTCAAGCCCCCAAACTCTGGACCCCCAATAAGAGCTTAAGGTCCTAGTTTGGAAGAGGTTCCCCTCGCTCGTGGGGCTTCTCAGTCCCCTGGGCACACCTTCTCCTGGCAGACTCCTTTTCCTGCAGGCACCAAACTCACTCGCACCCACCGATCGGGGACTCTCACCTGCAAGCCGTTAGGACAGCCTTGTGGGCCTGCAAGGGGCAGCCTCCCACCCTCAAAGTGACGTCCGTCAGGATCTGTCGCTTGCGCAGCTCGTTCAGATTCATCAGGACGTCGCTGGAGTGGCGTGTGAATTCGCGGATGTAACTTTGGTGGCTTGGCCCAGCCATGACTCCTGGAGGTTGGGAAGAGAGAAGAGGAAGCTCGAAAACAGCGTTGTTCAAACTTGGCCACTTGAAGATGGATGGACTTCAACTCCCAG